GTACAGCAAACATCCTTCTCTGAAAGTTCTACCTCTTTAGCTATGCGTGGCGGTGCTTGCCGTTAATCCCAGCACTCGGGGAGACAGAGGCAGGTGGATTTCTGTGAGATCGAGGTCAGCCTGGTCTACATAGTGAGTGAGTTCCAGGCCAGCTGGGGCTGCAGGAAGACATTGTCTCAAAAAAACCAAAGTTCTACCTCTTTAACCAGTTCAGTCCTGTTCAGTCTTGACCTGACTGCTTGGGCATACCAAGTCCCCTGAAATCCTCTAAAGCACTATCAGTTTTCTTGCACATGACACCTATGGCTTCCTCTCTGCTTTACCTTGTAGCATGATTAGTTTATTCAAGAGTACAACTTCAGGTGAGGGAGCTGGCTCAATTGATAAAGTGGGCTTGCCTTGCAAGCATGAGGACCTGAATTCAATTCCCAGAACCCACATGAAAAGCTGGGCATATAATGGCATGCACTTTTGAGCCCAGGGCTGAGGTGCAGAGACTGGAGGATTCCCAGGGCTCATTATCCAGTCAGCCTAGCCAAACCAAATCAATGAGTTTCAGGTTCAGTGAGAAACCCTCTCAAAAAATAAAAGCAAAGAGAGATTGAGAAGACACCCAACATCAACCTCTGGCCTCACAGTAACACACATACACCACACACACAAAGGAAAACAAAGTGGATGTGGCACCTGGGAGAAAAACAACTGACGCTGTCCTCTAGTCTCCACACAGGTACACACATATGCACCAATACATGTGTGTGCATGAACACACATACAAGGTACCTGACATCTATGACATGTGAGGCATGTGTGGGGGGAGAAGGTAGTCTCATGTTAAAAATCGTCAAATCTCTAGATGTGGTAGTCAAGTGGAGAAGCTGGCAAAGATCATATACAAAGGCAAATGGATAATTTTATTTTTTAAATATGTATTTAAAGTCAACACCTAATTATAAACATTGATGGGCATTTCATATATGTATCCAATGTGTAATGATCAGATCTGGATAACTGGCCTATCTATTACCTCAGATATAACATTTTAAAAAACTTTATTCATTTTTTTATGTGTCTGAGTGTTATGCCTGCATGTGTGTAAGTGCACCCGTGTCGTGCAATGCCTGCAGAGGCAAGAAAAGGGTGTCGGATCCCCTGGAACTGGAGTTACAGATGGCTGTTAGCTGCCATGTGGGTGCTACGAATCAAGCCTGGGTCTTCTGTAAGAACAGCCAGTGTCTTAACTGCTGAGCCATCTGTCCAGCCCATAACTCTTTATTAGCAATTTTGAAATCCTCTTTATTGACCATTTTTAAATATTCAAGCTGTAATTTCAAATTGTGCTGAGCCATCAAAGAAAAAGCAGGAAGTCAAAATGAAAACTGTGTGGGGGTGGCATACTGACGGAGATACAGTGGTTAGTGGTATTTTATGGCAGGGCTGAAGGACAAGGAGCCAGGCAAGCAGACAGGTGGTGAATGTTCAGAACACGAAGACCAGGGCTTTTCCACAGCCATCTGCTTTCATGCCTTTCAGCACCTCATTCTATGGTCACACACTGGACCTCCTCGACCTCTTCCCAAATCACTGCTGGCAGCCCAGTGTGAGAAACTGCTTTCCTTGGCCCTGACTTCCTCAGTGTTTCCTCTCAGTCCACAGGCTTGTGCTCCCCACTGCAGCTCCCTAATATACCTCTCACACTTGCATGCCCTTCACTCTCCATTCTTTCTTCACATTCTGCAGGCACAATCCCATCACTGCATTTTCTGAGATGACAGTTGAGCCAGTGACAATTGCTGGACACATCTCCCACCCCACACCAGATACTGGCAACTATAAACCCTGATCATTTCAATGAAGTATGCAATTGTTAGATGTGCCCCTTCCCCTCCACCCACAAGTGACTGATATTGTCTCCAACATTTCACTTACCCTAGCCTTTCATGATGTCTCCACAATGGTCCCCTGACATTCCCATTCTTTGATATCGCCTCTTTGATCTCAGGTTGGAGTTATTCGGGACTCAGGCATGGACCATTTTTTTTTCTGCTGCTTCCCAAGTGATCTCATCCCTTTTGGTGACTTTAAATATCATCTGCTGACTTATACTCCCAAGTGTCTTCTTAACCAACCATCACTCTGGCTTGAGGCCTAGCATCCTAGTACACACCAATGCCAATTGCTGCTGGTATTACTGTAATAGCGCTAGATGATTTCTTTACTATTAGTTTTGTTTCCACATAGCACCAGAATGATATGTTTGAGATATAAATCACTTCATGTCACTTCCTGACTTAAAACCCTCAGAGTAAATCCCCAAACACATTTGAGGTTCCAGTAGCAGCCATAACAAATTACCATAAGCACAGCTTAAAACAATAGGTTTGTTCTTTTACGGTTCTGGAGACAAGGGGTTAAAGAGTTGACAGAAAAACAGATCCTCCAAAGGCCCTGGAGAGTCCCAGTCCTTCACTGCTGTGACTGACTCACATTCACAGAATGTCTCCTTATGGCTGTTGTTCATTTGGTTTTTGAGACAGTTTCTCTACGTAACCCAGGTCAACCTGGGACTCACAATCCTCCTGCCTCAGTTTTCCTACTCTTGGGGACTACAGGCACGTGCCACTATTACTAGCTATAGTATACTTTTCTGTCCTTCCTTCTTTCCTTTCTTCTTCTTGCTTTCTTTTTTTTTTTTTTTCTTTAAGTTTCTTGAGATAGCATATCACTCTGTAGTCCAGGCTGGCCTAGATAGAACTCACTCTGTAGCCCAGGCTGGCCTCAGCCTTCCCAGTGCTGCATTATAGGCACGAGCCACTACATATTTTTCCTTTAAGGGTATTTGTCAGAGGATTTAAGGAACCACTCAGTTATTTCAAGATTATCTCACCTCAAGAACCTTAATTATGACTATGACACCTCATTTTCCAAACCAAATGACACCATAGGTTCCAGGGACCAGGACCAAACCTTTTGTAGGACCACCATGAAACATGCCGTAGCCTGAGCCTGCTCCTGCACCCTCATCACGGTCTTCCTTGAGCAGCAGGCTCTACCCTTCCTAGCATTCCTCTACTTCCTGGATAAAGGCAAGGTCTTTTCCACCTTTGGCCTTTGCCTGAGCTGTTCTTTTTCTAGTATTTACCTAGTTAACACCTTTTTGAGTCCTCAGTTAAACATTACTTCTGTGGAAAATTATTCTTTACTGCACAGCCCATTTTTATCACCCCTGAAACCACCCTATTTCTCTTTCACAGAACTGACTGCTTCTCTCTGTTCAATAAAGGCACAGTTATGCATGGATTTGTCGGCTTACTTGCTAGTATTTGTCTCCCTCACTGGACCATGAGCTCTTCATATCATCTTAGGAAAAACACCTGCTTTGTTCACCTCTCTGCATATTCAGAGCACATGACAGCATCTGCCACACAGAAGCATGAACTAAATAGAGTACTAACTAAACGGTCCCTCCCCTTCCCCTTTTGAACAGGGCTAAGGAGTTAGAATAGTGACAGAGAGAACAGGTGGAACATCTCCCAGACCAGCCTGGCCAAGTGATAAAACTTGAAGCAAAAGGAAAAAGAGAACCTGATTATTATTAGCAAATACTTAGGATTTTTCTGGTCTTCTAGTCTGCCATGATGGAGCTATACGACTAAGGAGCTCATCCCACTTTTTATAATAGTCTCTACCTCCTAATCAAAAGGATAATAGTTTCTTGAAATTTTTATGAAAAACTGATATGAACTGACATTCACATTTTACCTAATACTAAGCTAGAAGATTCACCTATGTATTATTTTGTTAATTCAAAAAATTATGAAGTGACTTAAGAATTATTAATAATAAATTCAGTTAGCTGTTTAAAAATCTAGGATGCACACAGACAAAAAGTCTCTCTTCTTTGGAATACTTGAAGTTTCCCAGCCTTTTTTCTTTTCCACAAGTGCTTTTTAAATTAAAATGTAGTAATTCACATAGCATAGTATCTATCATTTGCTACACAATTTAGTGTTTTAGTCCAAGTTATGCAACCAGTCACTAATTACAGAACATTCTCATCACATCACTCTTCTTTCCCCCAACACCACAATCTCCATTTGCAATCATTCTCTACTTTTCCCTCTCTAAACCCCTAGTAACCACTAATGTGCTCTATATAGTTTTTTCAGACTTCTTCACATTCATGAAACTGAAACACAGAGAGATGATGTGATTTACAGAGTAAAGAGTTGTGTGTGTGTGTGGGGGGGACTATTTAGAGCAGCACCAATAGTTATAGTAACTTTTATGGTATAAAAAGGAAAAGGAAAATATGCTTAGTATATCTAATACATGCCCTTAAATGCGGCTTCAACACATCTGATAAAAGCAGGGTCCTCAGAATAAACACTTTTAGGGCAAGACATATCAGGACAAGACTTTCAGGACATCTCTAACTGGAAAGTGGCAAGTCAAGAATTACTTAAGAGGAGATGCAGGAGGACCAGAAGTTCAAGGTCATCCCTGGAAACACAACAAGTCTGAGGCCAGCCTGAGAGATGTAAGACCCCAGCTCAAAAAACAAACAAACAAACAAAAAATCATTCTGCTGCTGGTGGAAAGGGGTGGTACTTTTGAACAGGAAAAAGTGAGGTTATGTGGTTCAGAGGACAAACATTTTTCTTTTCAGCCCAAGGTTTTGAAACTAGTGTTCATGTGCCCAGAAGACCTGCTTGTTTCCTTGTATAATCCTTATCGCATCCAGTTTATTCATAAGCATTAATACATAACAGTGCTAACACCACTATCAAATTCTTACTCGTTAATAGCATCCTAGAAAGTAATGGAAGAAACCTGACTTTTTAAAACCCTATCTGCATTTTCAAAGCAAAATAATTATATAAATATATAACAAATTCTATAAATATAATAATTATATATTTCATTATCTCACCATCAGAAATATGCACATTGGAACATTAATATTACAGACTAAAATCATCAGAATCCATCTGCAAAAATAATTAGGCACAGATTTTATTGTACATGTCTTAATCAACATTACAAATACTATTAACAAAAAGAAAAGAAAACTGTACCACACAGAAAAATAGTCATTCTTCAAGACACTAATCTCAACCTCAGCTTTGTGTTTTATTATTAAAACAGCAATTTAAAAAGAGAAGTCAAATCTATCTTTACTAATTAAAACTGAAACTCTAAAATAACTAGGAATAGAATATATAACTTAAAAATAAATCCCTGTGTCCTGTCTGGGAAATTTTGATTTGCTAACATCAATGCATAAGCAAGAGCTTATCACTGGGTGAACAAAGTGAATAAAAAAATTTTCTCTATCAAACACACTGTTTTGAGTTATAGAAATCTTTCTGATGACTATATTATCATTTTTTTAAAAAATAAAAATGATTGCTAAAATGCTTATGTAGACAATCTATTAATAGGATTGGTTACTAAATGACAAAGTGGAAACTTGATTCATCAAATACTTTGTTAACATTTAATTTAATTAGCTTTAAAAGGTTAATTCTTAATTGTCTACAGCAAAAGAGAAAACTTTGGTAGCAATAAATTAGAATTAGGAAATGAAAATATATTTTGTACAGGTCATTAGCATGCTTTTGGAATTAAACTCAAATATGCCTACATATACAAATGTGGAAGCCTTGTTTCCCTCTGCTACGTACATTGTTATGAGCATCACTATTCTGAATTATGGACATAAATAAGCCATCAGCCTAAAATTTTTTCCTAAAGGACTGAAGGGTCATACTCATCAATATAGGGTAAAGGGTAAATAAAGAATTAAGTATTGTAGTCTTAAAACCCTCATTTTCTTTTTGATAGGAACATCAAGATATTAAAATAAAAATAATTTTAATAGTCACTTCCAAAATGCATCCATTTTAAACATCTCATATGATAGATGCCGAGAAGAACAATAAAAAAGAAAAAGAAAAATCTGCAAATAAGTTAAAAAAAAAAGGAAAGTATTTTATAAAGGAGACTGGGCAAAGGAATAATGGATTTCAGAGAATTCCTTTCTAAAAATTCAGAGTGTTTTTATAAATGTTTTAAAAATAAAACTCAGGATCTAGCACATTGTATAGGGAATCTAGACAACTCTTTGACAAACTTTAAGGTTGCTGTGTAACTTACAGAAACTAATAACAGATTTTTACTTTAAGAGTCAAAGAGAATGCCAGGTGTGGTAGCACAGGCCTTTAATCCCAGCACACGGGAGGCAGAGGCAGGTGAATCTCTGTGAGTTCAAAGCCAGCTTGGTTTACACAGCAGGAGACCCTGTTTCAAAAAGAGCAACAACAACAAAAAGAGTCAAAGAGAAAATAGTCACAATTACACAATTTGTTTGAACTGGTCACCAAAAACAATTTATATAAGTTCAGATTTTACAAAGTCTCCATTCTCTAGGCTGTCTAATAAACACTAAAACCAATCTTATTATGAATACCTTTGGATTCTTTATGGAGCACACATTTTTCATAAACCCATAACAAAGTCAAGAAATTGAGACTTACTCCTCAATGCAGCCTGTGATTTCTGAATATAACAAATCTAATTGGGAATCAATTAAAAATGGCAATTAAAATGCTTTAAAATATGTTTACATTTGAAGTAATTTAGTTTGGAAAATAGTCTTAGTTAAAGAATTATTTTGAAAGTTTAAAACTTTTAAAAACAAAATTAGTTCAACAATTGTGGAAATAAAATGACTATAAACACTCAGGATAGCAACCCACCTACTGAAACACAGCACTTAAGTGCACTCAGCTCACTTAATTTTTAAAACCACTTCTCCATCTCATAACTGGACTAAACACTGCTCAGCTGCTTACCATTACCTATATTAAAAGTAAAGACATCAAGACTGTCCACAGATCAGACAGTGGCTGAGCAGGGGGCCAGGGACGTACAGTTGACATTTCAGAACTGAAAGGATTCTCAAGATCCAATCCAGGACCACAGAGAAGGGACTGAGGCTCAAGCAAGATAAACAACTTAACTGAAGTCATTTCTCTGCTGAGCCATTTGTTCATTCATTTATTTACCCATTCAGTGAGAAATGCCCAAGAGCCAGCCTGCTAAGTGCTGAGAAGGGCTAGAAGGTGGCAGTATTCACAATTGCCAAGGCAGTCTTTTTTACTCACAGTCTTAAGATAAATACATCAATTTCCTGGTCAGCAAGAATTGGAGGAAGAGTTCACCAGCCTTTGCAGAATCAGACCCACTTTCAGTTTCACACATTTCAGTAAACACATTTGGGGTTTACTTCAGAGAGGCCTCAATTGTGTTTACTTTAAATGACTGAACATTAACAAAGGGAGGCAAAGCATTCTGGATGAGTCCCACTTTAGTACATTAATAACTTAAGGAAGTACAATCAGAGAATGCCCTACACTAACAAGTTCACAGAGGACAGCTTAGAAAAATCAAGGTGATTTGAGGTACCAATATAGATCAGTTCAGTCCCATAGCTCAAGTTTACAAAGAACGGAATGTGAGTTTCTCATCCTTTCATTTTAGATACAGGTATAATTTTCTGAGATATCTGATGTTAAAAAAAAAAAAAAAGACCTCCAAACTTCCATTCAAACAGATATCCTTTCCACTTACACACACACACTTAAACCAGGCCTTTTTCTCAAGATCAAATTTCTTCAATTTCTATTTGATTAAAGAAAAACTAGTTTCAAAAATTCTCAAATGTAATGTGCTGGCTGAAAGAAATTAAAATTCTATGCAATCAAAAGAGCAACAGCTCCAGTTACACATTCATGAGTTTTGATAAAGAAAATGGGACATGAACTGAATTTACCAATCAGCATAAATCACACCCCATTTTGCTTGGACATTTACACTCTCTAGTATTATATCTGGTACTTAAATGTGTGCTCTGAGGATAAAGCTAGGGACTCGCACGTGCTAGGCAAGTGTTCTACCACGGAGCCACATCCACGGCCTACACTGAAGTGGCTTATGTATCTCAATTCAGTCAACTTCTTTAAGAAGGGGCAGATGATATGGACAAAGCTTTTAAATAAAACAGTCCATGAGGAAGGAAGGCACTTTGAAATATTAAACAGCAGCACTCTCTACACCCAGTTTCAGAGTGATATCCCCAAATGAACTATAGCTTTCCAGTGTTCTCACAGACAACTGCTGGGTGACTTCTGGTAAAATACAGTCTTCACTGAGGCACTTCAACTTTCCAGAAGCTACTGCCAGCTCCTGAAAAAAAGACACTGTTGTACTTTTCTATTTCTCAAAACTCCAGATTTGATTTTTGTCAAGGGCATCACAAGTTCTCATTTGAACACTAGGTCGGCCTTCGGGTGTCCGATAGGCACTAAGACATAGTCCTGAGCGTGGGTGAAAAATAGTTCCATCTTCCTTAAAATGCCAAATAATGTTTACTGGAATAGGGAGCCCATCTTTTGGACAGTTTTGCATTCCTACATGATTTTTTTGCTCAGGAACTCCTGCACATAACTCAGTCACAGAATTAAATCTTATTTCTTTGTTTGAAGTGTATTCAAAGAACTGATTGCCTCCTTGACCATGACATCCAAACAGTGAAAGGTTAGCACCAGTGGGGTTGGTGTCAGGAGAATTATAATCTAAGCATTCAGAAGAGATCCCCACACTACGAATAGCCCCATGCCAGCCTGGTCTATCCTCAGGTACGTGTAAGTTAGAAAACACATTTTTCAAATACCAGTCAAAACTCTTGCATCTCAACCGTTCACGTAATAATTTTCTTTCGGAAATATCACCATAGGCTTCTTTGCGTGCTGGAGGGTTTCGGTTGTAGAAATGCTCTTTGTATTCATCCATCCATACTTCTGCTGCCCGAGCAGTATTCTGTAGGAAATTGGGGCGAGCATATGGTGCCCTTTTGGGGAACACATGGCCTACATGAGAACATGGGTGGATCTCCAGTTTGCCACCACACTGCCAAACCCTGAAAGACAGCTCTAGGTTTTCACCTCCCCATACTTCCATTCCAGTGTCATATGTTCCCAGGTAATGAAAATATTTCTTGCTGACAGCAAACAGTCCTCCAGCCATGGTGGGTGACCTGATGGGATCAATTCTTGATGTCCGCCTGTCCCTTTCATGTTTGGGGACAGAATGCCACTGGAAGGTTAAACGCCAGTCAAACCCACCAATCATGGGCTCCCCAGTCTGCATGTAGAATTCAAAAGTATTCCAATCAATGGTATCTATAACAGGACAGACAATTGCTGTTTCATCTTTACTAATCCTTTCCAAAAGTGGTTCCAACCAACCGGAAATACACTCACAGTGACAATCCAGGAAAGTGAGGACGTCCCCAGTGGCAAAAGTAGCCCCGATGAGGCGGGCCCGAACCAGCCCTTCTCGTTTGTTGGTTCTAATCAAGCGCACTCTATCGAGACTGCTTATGTAAGTTTCAAGTTGGGTCTTCAAATAAACTCTGTCACTTAAGTCATCAACCAAAATGATCTCCTTCAAAAGAACTGCAGGGGAAGTTTCTAAAACACTGTGAATGGTTCGCAGCAAAGTCGACCAGGCTTCATTATAGAAGGCGATGATGACAGATGTGGTGGGAAGCATCCTGTAGTCGAAATTCTTGGATTTACATTCATACATTCTTTTATCCTCTATGTGGCGGTGCAGAGAGATCCTGTCACTGAGGTAAATATTGATAGCATACCTCTCAATGAGTTCTTCCTGTTGCTTCAATTCACCCTCGTTGAGCTGGAGTTTGCTTGCTCTCCCCCACTCCCCAAGAGCATGAGAATCTGCAGGGGGCTTCTCATAAAGAGGCTGGGACAAATCCTCTTCCTTTTTCTCAAGGTCTGAGAGCCGCCTTGGGCCCCGCTCCCGGGCATGGTCGGCTCCTTGGGAGGCACGGAAAGTGGAGACCGAGAACTCCACCAGAATATAAGCCACGGTTAAAAGTGCCAGCAGCAGGCAGCTCTTGCCAGCCCAGGTCCACCTCACCGCCATCCGGATCCGCACGGGTCTGGCGCAGAAGCCGCCACCAAGCCACCACGCGGGGGAAGTGCTGCGGAGACTGCAGCTGGAGTTCCCGGCTCAGGTAGGGCGCACTTCCCAGCAGGTCCCTCCTTTCATGCAGGCGATTGCCTCCTTTCCAGACACCGGGGTTTCCCAGAGGTCAACTGACACCCCACGCTCCTCGGCCTCCGGTGCAGCTCAGCTCATCCGTGCTCACTTCCTCCAGCTCCGCACAGAACTTTTAGCAAACTCTCCAGCCAACACCCCAGCCGCCCCAGGCCGATCACAAACCCCTCCCCTTTCCCACTCACTCCTCCTGGTGGTTAGTTCGCGAAAGTTGTCAGTCGGGCCCCGGCGGCAGGCCTAGGGGGGTTGGAGGCCCTGCTCGGAGTGGCCCTCTGCACCCCATCGCGCCAGGCTTCCGCGACTGGTCTGCACAGGGGGTGTCCTGGGGAACCCAGCCCGACCAGCAGGAAAGGTTATCGACCAAGTGAGCTTTGGTTTTGGACACAGAAAGAAAGTAAAACTTACCAAGATGTTTGCCATTGGGGCTGAAGTCCACGGAGGTGATCGCAGCTTTGTGGCCTTTAAAATAACGCTCCAGAACCGGGTGCGCCTAGGAAGGAAAGCGGTCAAGTTTTGAAAGCAGGTGGAGTTCCAGCTCTGGGGGTCAGAGGTCAGGCTGCGGGTCCCGGGGAGAATCTGCCGCACTCGCCTGCAGCGGGAGGAGAGCTTGGCATCCCCCGCGAGCAGCGAGCCGGCAGGCCCACATCCAGGCGTCCGAAAGTGCAACGCGCCAGGTGTCCGGTCGCCGGTTCGCAGCGCCCGGCCGGGCCCACCCCGCTGACCCCGCCGCGCCGCAGGTGCAAGCCGCTGCCGGCACCTGCGCCTTTAAACCTCCCAGGTGATTCTGACGCAGGCGCACCGCGGAGGCCGAGCGGGAACTCTGGCGGTCCGACCGAGCAGCCTCGGCTCGGCGGGAGATCCGGGAACAGAGCTGCGCCCCCCGCCCCACCTGGGCTCGGCGCTCCCTCCGCCCGGGCGCAGAGTGAACGACCGAGCTCCCGGGCGGAAGAAGAACTGCCTACACCTGGCCCCGCTCGCCCAGGCGACTCTGGTTCCCAGGTGGTTCCCACCTGGCCCCGCCATCCGCGGGGTCGGCTCGCCAGCCGGTCCTTACCCGGACGGAGGCCATGCGAGGAGCGGACGGCGCCCATCCCCTGCGGATACGGGGAGGGGCCAGGATGGGGGGGGGGGGGGGGGGCCCTGG